TACCGCCATTCTCCTGCCCCTCAGCCTCCCCGAGGTCAGACTGGGGACTACAGGCGGCCGCCACCTCGCCCGCTAGTTTTTGTATTTTTAGTAGAGACGGGGTTTCCACCGTGTTAGCCAGGAATGGTCCCCTCGATCTCCTGACCGCTCGTGATCCCTCCCCGTCTCGGCCCTCCCAAAGTGCTGGGATTACAAGGCTTCGCAGCCACCGGGCGCCGGCGGCCGTTTTTGTATTTTTTAGTAGAGACGGGGTTTCACCGTGTTAGCCAGGATTGTCCGATCTCCTGACCTCGTGATCCGCCCGTCTCGGCCTCCCCCAAAGTGCTGGGATTACGGGCTTGAGCCACTGCGGCCCCAGCCTTCCCTGTTCCATTTTTCTTTTTTTTTTTTTTTTTTTTCTGAGACACGAGTTTCACTCTTGTCACCCAGGCTGGAATGCAATGGTGCGATCTTGGCTCACTGCAACCTCCCCTCCCCAGGTTCAAGCGATTCTGCTGGTTCTCAGCCTCCCGTGTAGCTGGGATTCCAGGTGCCCGCCACCACAAACTAGCTAATTTTTGCTTTTTAGTAGAGAGGGCTTTCACCATGTTGGCTAAGCTGGTCTCGAACTTCTGACCCCAGGTTGATCCACCTGCCTGGGCCTCCCAAAGCGCTGGGATTACAGGTGTAGCCACCACGTCCAGACTTTTTCTTTTTTTAAGACAGCTCTGTCGTCCCAGGCAGGAGTGCAGTGTGGCAATCCTGGCTCACCTAGGTGACCTGCTTGACCTCACAGGCCCAACAGTGATCCCTCCCTGCTCAACCTCCCAAGTAGCTGGGATCACAGGTGTATACCACCAGCCTGGCCAATTTTTGTTTGTTTTTTTGTAGAGACAGGGTCTCCCTATGTTGCCCAGACTCATCTCAAATCTCCTGGCTCAAAGTGATCCTCCTGCCTTGGCCTCCCAAAATGCTGGGATTACAGTCCGTGTTTCATTCTTCTCACTGCTGCTTTTCTCAAATGTGAAATCACTCCATTTACTTTGTTATTGCCTGTATGCCCAATACATCCCAAAGTGTGGTGGCACAGAGAAGGCCACTCAACGCACCTTTCCCGAATGAAGGAGTACCCTAAAAGCGTTTTTTTTTTTTTAATGTTTGTTTTTTTGTTTGTTTTTCTTTGAGATGGAGTTCCTCACTCTGTCACCCAGGCTGGAGGCAGTGGCTATGATCTCGGCTCTTGCAACCTTCCACCTCCTGGGTTTCAAGCAATTCTCACTGCCCTCAGTCTTCCGAGGCAGCTGGGATTACAGGCATCCAAACCACGCCCAGATAATTTTTCCGTATTTTTAGTAGGAGGCAGGGGTTTTTCACCATGTTGGTCAGGCAGTTCGAATCCCTGCCTCAGGTGATCCACCTGCCTCTCGCCTCCCAAAGTGCTGGATATACCGGCATGGGCCCCAATGGGGCCTGGCCTAAAAGCCATTTTCCTGTAGCACAATCAGTAACAGCAACAAAACAGAAACAAAACAAAAACAAAACCCAACAGCCCCAAAATGTCCAATAGAAACTCATTACACAGATTACAGTATTTCCTCTCTTACACCATGAAATACTCCATGACTGTTAGAAAGGGGAAGGTCCCATACCACAGACACGCAAAATAATCAAGGAAAGAGTTCAGGAAATTGTAGGGATAGAAACTGTCACATTTACAGCCACCTGATTTTCAACAAGGGTGCCAAGATAATTCACCCTTAGTTTTTACAGCCAATTGATTTTCAACAAGCATGCCAAGATGATTCAACAGGGAGGAGAATCCTTTTTCTTTTTTTTTTTTTTTTGAGACAGGAGTCTCGCTCTGTTGCCCAGGCTGGAGTGCAGTGTGGCAACTCTTGACTCACTTGCAAGCTCTGCCTCCCGGTTGACAATTCTCCTGCATCACCTCCCCCGAGTAACCTGGGACTCAACAGGCGCCCACCACCACGCCCGGCTAATTTTTTGTATTATTAGTAGGGACGGGATTTCACATTTTTACGCCAGGATGGTCTCGAACTCCTGACCGTTTGTGATCCGCCCACGCTTCGCTCTGCTGGGATTACAGGTGTCGCGCGCGCCCGCGCAGAATCTTTTCAACAATGGATGTTGGGATATAATGAATATCCACGTGCGAAAAAATGAAGTTTATCCATTCCCGTATGCCATACCCAAAAATTAATTCAAAATGGACTCAACCTCCCAGGTTCAAGCGATTCTGCTGTCTCAGCCTCCCGTGTAGCTGGGATTCCAGGTGCCCGCCACCACAACTAGCTAATTTTTGCATTTTTAGTAGAGAGGGCTTTCACCATGTTGGCTAAGCTGGTCTCGAACTTCTGACCCCAGGTGATCCACCTGCCTGGGCCTCCCAAAGCGCTGGGATTACAGGTGTGAGCCACCACGTCCAGACTTTTTTCTTTTTTTAAGACAGCTCTGTCGTCCAGGCAGGAGTGCAGTGGTGCAATCCTGGCTCACCTAGGTGACTGCTTGACCTCACAGGCCCAAGTGATCCTCCTGCTCAACCTCCCAAGTAGCTGGGATCACAGGTGTATACCACCAAGCCTGGCCAATTTTGTTTGTTTTTTTGTAGAGACAGGGTCTCCCTATGTTGCCCAGACTCATCTCAATCTCCTGGGCTCAAGTGATCCTCCTGCCTTGGCCTCCCAAAATGCTGGGATTACAGTCGTGTTTCATTTCTTCACTGTGCTTTTCTCAAAGTGAAATCACTCCATTTACTTTGTTATTGCCTGTATGCCCAATACCTCCCAAAGTGTGTGGCACAGAGAAGGCACTCAACGCACTTTCCCGGAATGAAGGAGTACCCCTAAAAGCGTTTTTTTTTTTTTAATGTTTGTTTTTTTGTTTGTTTTTCTTTGAGATGGAGTCTCACTCTGTCACCCAGGCTGGAGTGCAGTGGCATGATCTCGGCTCATTGCAACTTCCACCTCCTGGGTTCAAGCAATTCTCCTGCCTCAGTCTTCCGAGCAGCTGGGATTACAGGCATCCAACACCACGCCCAGCTAATTTTCGTATTTTTAGTAGAGACAGGGTTTCACCATGTTGGCCAGGCTAGTCTCGAACTCCTGACCTCAGGTGATCCACCTGCCTCGGCCTCCCAAAGTGCTGGAATTACAGGCATGAGCCACCATGCCTGGCCTAAAAGCATTTTCTGTAGCACAATCAGTAACAGCAACAAAACAAAACAAAACAAAACAAAACCCAACAGCCCCAAATGTCCAATAGAAGCTCATTACACAGATTACAGTATTTCTCTCTACACCATGAAATACTCCATGACTGTTAGAAAGGGGAAGGTCCCATACCCACAGACACACAAAAATAATCAAGAAAGAGTTCAGGAAGATTGTAGGATAGAACTGTCACATTTACAGCCACCTGATTTTCAACAAGGGTGCCAAGATAATTCACCCTTAGTTTTACAGCCACTTGATTTTCAACAAGCATGCCAAGATGATTCAACAGGGAAGGAAGAATCCTTTTTTTTTTTTTTTTTGAGACAGAGTCTCGCTCTGTTGCCCAGGCTGGAGTGCAGTGGTGCAATCTTGACTCACTGCAAGCTCTGCCTCCCAGGTTGACACCATTCTCCTGCATCAACCTCCCGAGTACCTGGGACTACAGGCGCCCACCACCACGCCCGGCTAATTTTTGTATTATTAGTAGGGACGGGATTTCACCTTTTTAGCCAGGATGGTCTCGAACTCCTGACCTTGTGATCCGCCCACCTTGGCCTCCCAAAGTGCTGGGATTACAGGTGTGAGCCACCACGCCC